GCAAATAAAACACAAAACTCTAAAAAAAAAAATCTGAGATGGGATCAGATGCCATTAGAGAAGTAAGCATCCCTTTCATCTGAAATGTACTCCTATTAAGGGAAATATCTGCAGACATTTTCGTATGCAAATATTGGCCTGACGATTCATAATAATTATGAAAAATGGAGTCAATATTAAACCCTAACGAAATATTGTAGTTGCTAACAAGGTCATTGTGAATTTCTCATAGAATATGCGAAATGTTGATTTCAAGCGAGACAACTGATATCCTTACATCATTAACTTTTTTGTCAATGGTAATTGGCTTACTTCGTTTTAGAAATTGTTCGTACATAAAGTATACTCTTACGTATCGAATCAACTGAGAGACATAAATTTATATGCAAGTGATAATGCTTTGTTGCAACTGACGGAAAGTTGATGATAGAGAGTGGTATGCGTTTTTCTTTGACATTTATTGACTTTGTCCAAAAAAAAAATATTTTGAAATTGTTCAAAAATCCAACTTATCACTGCAAATGAAAATGAATTAACAGTATTTTTAAAATGGTCCCATGATCAAGACATTTAGTAAGAAAATCACAACAACATCGAAAACAAACAGACCCCCCCCCTCCCGGATCACTTTACAATGTCAATGAGAAAAGTTTTCATTATTAAAGATTTTTTTTAAGCGTCAATATCTCACTCACGACTTTATGTGTGTGCAATTTAAGGTGTTGGCTGTTTTATTATAAAAGAAAATGTACTTTATTTCAGAGACAATTACATTGAGTTGAAGATTTATTACGACTCACTGATAGAAACAGCTGTCACTGAGGTCCCAGAGTTCAATATTTTTGAGATGCTCAGTAAGTACAACAATCTAAAATGAACTTCTTAACTTCTCAAAATGAACAAAATAATTACACTATTTAAGCACGTCAACCTTCATTTATTTGAAAAAATCAGGACGCAAAATACATTGCCTTCTTTAAGGAAAAAAAAAACTTTTGTATTGTCCCTTCAGGTAATATCGGTGGCTTGATGGGGATTTTCCTAGGCGCCAGTCTTCTCTCCATGGTCGAGTTAGTGGAGTTCTTTTTGCTTATTATGAGCGGTCGGAACAAACTTGGAGCTATGAACAACGGAGCATCTAGTGTCGAAAATGGAAACGTATCGCATAAAAAAGAGCAATCGAAAATCATAGCGGTGAAAAACAAACAAAAACGGAAACAAACAGGCAACAAAAAAAAATAATAGTAACGGAATGAGGAAATCTTAGGAGGAAAGTTCTCCAGCGGTATATTTGTGTCTCTTACTGGGAGGAATTGTTGACATATGCAGTTAATGTATCAACATAAGATTTCTTTCTCGAAATAACTAACATTTGCAGTTGACATCCCCTGTGAGATATATGTAATATATACAGTTAACATTTTCCCCTGAGATATCTGTAACATACAGTTGACATCTCCCATGAGATATTTGTAACATATGCAGTTGACATCTCATCACCCAAGATATCTGTTACATATGCAGTTGACATCTCCCCTGAGATGTCTGTAACCTGTGCAGTTGATTCTCCCCGAGATATCAATTTCATATTAAGCAGTTGACTTATTGCCAAAGGTATCTGTAACATATGCTTTTGACATCCGTAACATATACAGTTAACATCTCCCATAAGATATCGGTAAGATGTGCAGTTGACATCCACATGAGATATCTGTAACATGTGCCATTTATTTTTTCTCCATATTTGTACAATATGCTGCGGACATCTCTAATGAAATATCTGTACCATATGCTGTTGTTATTTGTATCATATGCTGTTGACATCTGTAACATAAGCAGTTGACCTCCCCCCGAGATATCCCTATAATATGCAGTTGACATTCAGATATCTGTAACATGTGCAGTTAATTTTCCTCAAAGATATCCATTTCATGTGCAGTTGGCTTCTACTTTGAAATTTCTGTATTATATAATTACATGTTGTTTTCTCACAAGATTTCTCAGAAAATGGTGTGACGACAAAAGGACTCATAGGGACATTGATTACTTCCAGTCAAGATCAACAGGATGTCTTTTTTTCAATTTGTCAAACTTAATAGAAAATTATGTGAGAAAAAATGAGCTCTTGTACAAATATTCCTCTCCCAAAAATGATAATAAAACTCAACACATGAAAATTGTTTTATTATTTTTATTTCATTCTTTTTTCTTATTTTTTTCTTTTCTCTCTAAAAATAATATCAAAATGTATTTCAATATCTGAGTTTGATGTAATAAATAACAGGTAATATTTACAAATATACAAACACACCTTACATCAACAATGCTGCTACTCATTATCAAAATCCTACTACTGGAATTATAAATTTCATGCTGTTCAAAGATATCATTTTAGATACTGGTACATTAATTAGGAGAGATGTCCACAACACACATTGAATATTTGCAGATTACATCCTTCTGACACAAATATTCTTCATCTTTAAACAAAACATCTATGTAACCTAGGACGTCATATATGTAAAAAAGATATTCAAAATTCTAACAAGCACCAAAACCGAAAAGCTCTAACAGATTGAGATTTTCTATCCCTGAAAGTGATTTTTAAAATCTGTTAGCCCTAAAGGATTTCTGTAGAACTCCAAAAACAAATCACACAAGCATATGCATATACCCTCACTCACATCAATCGTAAGATGTAAACAAATCTCATTCATACCAAACAGTGGATAAGACTCAAATATCACAGATAAGGATTGATACATTAGATACCTAACAAAGACATATATTTTATCAGGTTACATAATAAATGCATTAATATCAAGTAAAAGTGGCAATTTTCTCCAGCTGTGTTTACCATAGAGGGGAAAAAAAACATTTTTTGAAGGCATATTTAACATACTAACTTTAATATCCAAGCAAATAATGGGATATAAGAAAATACAATAAATGATTTTTTTTCTTACAAAATTCTTTGCAAATTAGACAATGGTATATGCTCTTATGAACTACCATGATAAACAACTGCAAACTACGTGTACTTGATTTAAAAAAATAAAATGATACAGATGTACTCAGTAGCTGAATGACAGTTTGTTGCAAGGCAATTTTTAAATAATGTATTTAATATAAAATACATGCATTTAAATTTTGAAAATTCAGGTGAAACATGAAAATCAATGCTTCAAGTCTGCATATTTATCATGAAATGCCAACACGCTTCATGAAATATGCCAGAGGGAAGCAATGTAATTCTTATCCTTCTGAATTATCAAAATTTTACTTTCTAAACGAAATGACTAGATCTAACGTCTGTCCATCAATGGACCCTCTACACAGAAAATAATGAGTGGAAAAGCCTAAATCACATTAAACAGGGGGCATTTATGGGTGATCAAAAGTTCTGAAACTATTATATTACAAAAAAAATAAATAAAAAAATAAACCTCTGTATTTGTTCACTCCTTTCCAAATATTTTTTTCCAAGTTGACTGTAACTGCAAAAACCTGCAGAGGTGGAAGAGATTTTCTTCATAATTACTGTATTATTAATTTCTTTCAAAATTTTTTATCACCCATTTATAGTTTTTAAAATGAACAATTTGCTCATAAATGTGTCTAAATGTCTCGAATAGATGAAATTAAAGTCTCGGTCTCTAATGTCTTCAGAAATACTACATAAATTTGATCTACACCAGATCTATAATATCTGTAGCGATACATATTTCACTAAATGAGTCTTCTTAATGTGATGACAGAATTAAAATAATTTTAAAGAAGTTAAAGCAAGCCTTCATGTTTACGATGCCTTAGATGAGAAAATTTTGGCTATCCTCTTGGCTTCCTCTGCCGTTGGGAGTTGTCTGCTCTTGACTTGCCCATTATTAAAGCGAGACTGTGCTGTGTTTGAACAGAGTTTGTTTTTCATTTCTGCGGCTGCTTGAGTTTTCTCCTCCCTGCGTTCCACACTAAGTTCCTGTATAAGATAGGAGTTATAAAATCAGTAAAAACAAAGCTTATTGCATCTGACACAACATCATTTTATTCATCTTTTTGCATTCAAATCTAGAAAAAGGTCCAAAAATTACTTAGCACACTTAAACGACTTTTCATACAAAATAACAAGAAAATAAGGCTCTCCTTCTCAGCATAGACATAATTTTCAATCTTTCAATGCTGATAAAGAGGACATTTACTCTTTCCTGAAATACAGTGTAATTTATCTTTTATATCAAATTACATTATTGTAACATAACACGATTTTTTCATATTATTAGATAAATGTCTTTTACCTTTTCATTTGTTGCTTTGTTTGCTGGCATCCCTTTAGTGGCTAAATGAAGAACTTTCATAGACTCTTGCAAATGCTCCACAGGTAGGAAGAAGTTGGGAATATTTTGTCTTCCAGTGTCTGTTTTGTTTGTGCGTTGTACAGGAATTTCAACTCTTTCCTCCTCTTCCTCGACAAATTCCTCTTCCTCTACATCACTACCGCTATTTTCCGGTTCTCCAGAATATACGAAACCGCCCTCTTGTTCCTCGTCACTGTCTTGTGAAAAATGAACTCTGGCATTTTCTGATTTGGATTGTTCGAAAAATTCCTCTAACTCACAAACCACATGAGAATACATCTGTTTAGGTGACTGAGGGACCGTCTCAAAACCCATTTCTTCTAGATGACTGTTCTCGTGGTCACCACTCCGACTGATGTGGAATGACGTGGTGGAGTTCCGCACAGATTCTCCTTTTTGCGTATTTGTTCCCGAAGTTACGGAGTCTAAGTCCACATTGCTTAATAACTCCCTCTCTTCTTTGAAATAAAAGCTGTCATATTCTCGACTTCCTGCTGAGGAAATTGTGTCAAGTTTCACTTTTGATAACAAATGTTTTGTATTTTTCGTTACAACCACATCATCACTATTGTCATTTTCATTGGGAAAATTGGATGCATCTAAATTTGATTTACTGTGGTCATTAGAAAACCAGCTGTCCTTTTCAACAATTTCTTCCACTTCATATTCTTCCTGGACAATCAGAGAACTAACCCTTGATTCGGGTCCAGTAGAGGGAACATAACTTGATTTCTGAAGCTCAAGTTCTTCATCAGAAAACCAACTGTCCTTTTCCACATAAAACTGATGTTTCTCACACCTGGATTCCTGCAGATTTTCTTTCGGAGGTTCCTCCTGGTCTGAAAACTCCGCCTCAGAAGTCTTTTTACTTCCAGGACTAGATTTTGATCCACTCCCGGGGCTAGATTTGGATCCACTCCTCGAATCACTCCTAACATCAAAGGGCATGGTGTGATCACTCTGATGGAACTCCCTGGGGGATTCTCTAGGTCCAGTTGACGAGTGCAGCTCATGGCCTGGTATTCCCCCAAATTTGCCTGAAACATCATTCAAAGTCCTGGGCACCACCACATTGGCCTCACTCTCCACGTCTGACCCCTCACTGTCCTGTTCATCCAGAATATCCCTGTACCGGTGGTAATACTTCTCGTCACCCTCCCCTCCACTCTCGTCAGCATTTTCCTCAATCACAGACATATCCTTTGGTTCCATTTTCTTCTCTTCTAGATTTGAATTAACATTGGAATTATTCTCATCTCTTTCGAACATGACATCCACAGACCTTCCGCTGACATCTTGAACACCGTTTCTTCCTGACACATGACTCCTGGAAGACATATCCCCCTGGTATTGAAATCCCAGCGAAGATGGATCCGACATTTTGGATCCATTTGACACGGAGTATGGATCTCTTGGAGTACTCCCAACACTGTGTACAGCTAAACCTCTCGGTGTGCTATTCTTACTGTGTGATTCTCTGGGTGTGTTTCCTACATTGGAATTTGAAGAAGAATCTTCCTCGCGAGATGTGTACGGACAGTGAATCCCAGTATCAGAATTATGATCTCGTGGTGAGTCCTTATTATATTCTCGAGTCAGGGACCTGAGTCTGAATGTCTCTAGTCCATCACTCCTCTGTGAGTCCAGAGCCTCCTGGTACTGGTACTTCTCACTCGAGTGAGTCACCGACAGGACACCCGAATCAACCCCTGTCCTCGAGGATTCACCCTCGTTAGAGGCCGTCAGAAGCAGTTCGCTCTCCTGAGTACGTGAGGAGTCCCTCTGACTGTGCTGTAAGTGGAGAGTGGAGATGGTGCTCAGTCCTGAATGTGTGGAAGTCAGAGTGGCATGTCCCACCGAACAACAAGACACGGGAGCCTCTGGTTCAGAGGAGAACTGCTGGGGCAAGGTAAATATAGGAGTTAGCTTCTGCTTCAGTCTGGAGGTTATTAGATCCAAGTCCTGCATTTGTTTCCTGTGAAAAAAAGTTAAGAATCAGATTTCATTCCTCTAATCAGATACCTGTTTAGTTTTACTGACATATTTCAGGTAAGAAAATGCTTGTAACAATGAAGCTTTACCTTAAATTTCCAAAAAGAATTGATCTAGAGCTATCATTAGGCTCTTCAAACTTGTGCTCTGGCATTTTGGGGACCCAGTGAATGGAAGGTTCTCTCTCTACGCTAATCCCTGTGAAGTCTGGTCTAGAATCTAACGTTGCCTGCTGCTGGTCCAGGAAGAGTCGGATATTCTCAACAAGCTGCTGCTGCAAGGCTTGGGGCTGCTGCATTTCAGACAATGGCGAAGGTTCAAACTGAGGTAGATGGGAGGAGAATGGTTTGCTAGTGAGAGGGAAAGACATTGGCTGCTCGTGGATCCAGGACGGAAGATGGTGGACGGATGATTCGCTTCTCACAGGAAGACTGGCTGGCTGGTTTGCTGAGTTGGTGTCCTGGTTGTACTGTCTCAGGCATTCTTGTGGAATGATGTTAACCTGAAAATTTAAAGAAAAATTATTTTCAATTTTTCTTTGAAAGTTATTTTTAAATTTTGTCCATTGTTTTGATTCTGAAATGGTTATAAACAAAATTCCCCTTCTTATGGGTGTGAATTTATAAATTATTTGTATTTTTAATAGATGTTCCCTTTAATATCCATTCAAACTTGAATGCTGATATCTAATGTATCAGGGATATGTCAAAGTGGGTTAGAGTCCCAGCCACCTTTTCCTTTAAAAAAGTGTTTTTACCATTGTTAAATCTTGATACTTTCATGCTCAAGATCTAATACCCAGGTTTCACTGTATCAACTAAGATGTGAACTTAATTTTTAGCTCTACTGGTCAGAGACCAGAAGAGCTTATGCGATAGTAATGTGTCCGGCGTCCGTCCGTCCGTCTGTCTGTCTGTCCGTCTGTCTGTAAACAATTTTTCAAAATGCTACTCCTCCTACAATTTTAGTCTGATTTCAGTATTACTTGGCACACAAGTAGACTACACTAAGATACATAGAATAGTGCATCGGTTTTTAATTTCTATGAACGGTGTTGCCATGGTGACTAAAAATAGAATTTTCTGTGAAATTCCTTAAAAACGCTACTCCTTCTACAGTTTTGGTCTGATTTCAATATAACTTGGCACACAAGTAGACTACACTAAGATACAAAGAATAGTGCATCGGTTTTTGATTTCGATGAACGGTGTTGCCATGGTGACTAAAAATAGAATTTTCTGTGAAATTCCTGAAAAATGCTACTCTTTCTACAGTTTTGGTCTGATTTCAATATAATATGGCACACAAGTAGACTACACTAAGATACATAGAATAGTGCATCGGTTTTTGATTTCGATGAACGGTGTTGCCATGGTTACTAAAAATAGAATTTTCTGTGAAATTCCTTTAAAATGCTACTCCTTCTACAGTTTTGGTCTGATTACAATATAACTTGGCACACATGTAGACTACACTAAGATACATAGAATAGTGCATCGGTTTTTGATTTCGATGAACGGTGTTGTCATGGTTACTAAAAATAGAATTTTCTGTGAAATTCCTTTAAAAGGCTACTCATTCTACAGTTTTGGTCTGATTTCAATTTAACTTGGCACACAAGTAGACTACACTAAGATACATAGAATAGTGCATCGGTTTTTGATTTCAATGAACTGTGTTACCATGGTTACTAAAAATAGAATTTTCTGTGAAATTCTTTTAAAACGCTACTCCTTCTACAGTTTTAGTTTGATTTCAAAATAAGTTGGCACACAAGTAGACTACACAAAGATACATAAAATAGTGCAATGGTTTTTGATAAGTACAAACCAGTAGAGCTACAGTCTCGACAGAGACTTCTGGTTAATTGACTGACCTTAATCTGTCCTTGGCACTGTCCATTGAAGTCAGTGATGTTGTACCAGCCACACATCTGCTGGAGGCCAGTGGACAAGGGAGTTAAATCTACTGAGACAAACCCCAGCACTCTATCAGAGCACTTGTCTGGGGTCTTCCCACAGGTGCTAGGCTTGTGCCAGACTTTGAACACCAAGTTCTAAAATCAAACAATGCAAAATATTTACAACTACTTTGTTTCTAGCTTTGTATGTCAAATTAAGGCATTTTTATTACTTTGTCAGGTAAAATGAACAGGTGGCTTGGTGGGACATTTCAAATTTATTTACAGTCTTTTTTGAAAGGGATGTTCCAACACCCACCTTGTTTTCCTCAAAGAGGAGCTCTGTACTGAGTCTGGTTTCATTTTGATGATCCCAGATAGGATTGTCTGAGTTAGGAAACACGTCAGTAAAGGTCGGATCAGCTGACTCGGCTGTCTGGTAGGAAACATACGCATTTGGCAATTGTTCACCAGACCTGTAAAAAATATAATGCAATTTACATGTAAACAGTCTATACAAATGAATGCATTAACAGCAACAATACTGTATTAGATGTATTATCAATCATCAATCTTCATGGATTTTGTGGTTCACCCTTAACCACAAACAATTATTGTGTCAAAATATTTATTCACTGAATCTTCAGTATATACTGTATGAATTATCCATAAAATTACCTCCCCATGAACCAAAAAAAATTTTGCTTGCCCACAAACATTGACCCCCATGATTCAAGTGATTCCACAGCAACTCTTAACAAAGCATGATCATTAAAGAGTCACATTATGTATTAATTTTCTAACCTTTTTTGCTCAGACACCCTTGGTAAATGCATAGCTCTTTCCACTGAAATCATAACAGCGAATGTTGAGATGACTTCTTCGTTTTCCTCCTGAAGTCTGGCCTGTTTTTTTGGAGATTTGGCACGTTTTGATTGGCCAGTCAGCTGGTGAAAGCTGTCGTTAGGGTCGTAATCAGTGTCATGGACATCTGACATATTAGCTTCGTCCCTCTGGAAATCATGATGTGTACATACAATATTATTCATATTTACACAGTAAAGAGAATCCATTATTTTAATTGTACATGCAGTTTCCATGGTTAAAGCTTTAACCAGAAGTCTCTGTCGAGACTGAAGCTCTACTGGTTTGTACTTATAGCAAAGGAAGAGAAAAGTACTTAAGCAGTTGGAAATTGAAACTTTTCAACAGATAAATAGAATAATTATCCTTGATTAAGTCTCTTTATGTTCTTAGTGCAGTCTACTTGCATGCAAGATTTATATTATAATCAGACTAAAATTGTATTTGGAGTAGCATTTTGAAAGAATTTCACAGAAATTTCTATTATTAGTAACCACGGCAACACCGTTCATCGAAATCAAAAACCGCTACACAGAATTATGTATCTTACTGTAGTCTACTTGTGTGCCAAGTTATATTGAAATCAGACTAAAACTGTAGAAGGAGTAGCATTTTGAAAGAATTTCACAGAAATTTCTATTTTTAGTAACCACGGCAACACCGTTCATCGAAATCAAAAACCGATACATAGAATTGTGTATCTTAGTGTAGTCTACTTGTGTGCCAAGTTATATTGAAATCAGACTAAAACTGTAGGAGGAGTAGCATTTTGAAAGAATTTCACAGAAATTTCTATTTTTAGTAACCACGGCAACACCGTTCATCGAAATCAAAAACCAATACACAGAATTATGTATCTTAGTGTAGTCTACTTGTGTGCCAAGTTATATTGAAATCAGACTAAAACTGTAGAAGGAGTAGCATTTTGAAAGAATTTCACAGAAATTTCTATTTTTAGTAACCACGGCAACACCGTTCATCGAAATCAAAAACTGATACACAGAATTATGTATCTTATTGTAGTCTACTTGTGTGCCAAGTTATATTGAAATCAGAGAAAAACTGTAGAAGGAGTAGCATTTTGAAAGAATTTCACAGAAATTTCTATTTTTAGTAACCACGGCAACACCGTTCATTGAAATCAAAAACCGATACACAGAATTGTGTATCTTAGTGTAGTCTACTTGTGTGCCAAGTTATATTGTAATGAGACTAAAACTGTAGGAGGAGTAGCATTTTGAAAGAATTTCACAGAAATTTCTATTTTTAGTAACCACGGCAACACCGTTCATTGAAATCAAAAACCGATACACAGAATTGTGTATCTTAGTGTAGTCTACTTGTGTGCCAAGTTATATTGTAATCAGACTAAAACTGTAGGAGGAGTAGCATTTTGAAAGAATTTCACAGAAATTTCTATTTTTAGTAACCACGGCAACACCGTTCATCGAAATCAAAAACTGATACACAGAATTATGTATCTTAGTGTAGTCTACTTGTGTGCCAAGTTATATTGAAATCAGACTAAAACTGTAGAAGGAGTAGCATTTTGAAAGAATTTCACAGAAATTTCTATTTTTAGTAACCACGGCAACACCGTTCATCGAAATCAAAAACCGATACACAGAATTATGTATCTTAGTGTAGTCTACTTGTGTGCCAAGTTATATTGAAATTGGACCAAAACTGTAGGAGGAGTAGCATTTTGAAAAATTGTTTACAGACAGACAGACAGACGGACAGACAGACAGACAGACAGACATACGGACGGACGACGGACGCATTACTATCGCATAAGCTCTTCTGGTCTCTGACCAGTAGAGCTAAAAACATAGTTCAATTTAAAACTGTGAGTTCTACCTAAATAAATATTGTATTTTAATACTACCATTGTGTACATATGATTGAAACTTAAGAATAAATTTTAAGAACCCACATACTGCATACCTGATTTGGAACCCCAAACATAGGTTTTAATGTCACATGAGCCTGAATACAAGCCCCTCCTAAGTTAGCTCCTCCTGCCTTGAATAATGGATAGAGCCCACTACAAATCATAATGATTGAATAATGTGACCAATATTACTTGCATTAAAAATTGCAAACTTGCCAACTAAAACAAATACTGTGAACAAGCTTTACAGACAGGATAGAATTGAAATAAATATTCTGTAGGGGGAAATTTTCAGTACCTCACTCTGTGCTGTGAGCGTCTCTTGTCAGCTAAAGTCTCCAGATTGATGTAAGCTGTCCCTATCAGTTTGTCCCGCTGCTGGGGTCTCTGGCTCTGGTTATAACTGTAACTGACCCACACCTGTACTTCCAGCTTCTCCTCCCGAAGATACCTGAAAAATGTAATAAACATCTAGGTCAAGGTGTGCATCTTCACAACTTCTTTAATTATTAAGGAAAATTAAAAAAAATAAAATAAATTAAATTTTCAAATCATTATCAGAACAAAACTACAGTTACATACCAGCGAAATGGAGAAGAAGCAGGAATTTGAAGTGTGTGCTTGTGTCCTAGTTCTGAGGTCAATATGCCATCACTGTCAGCCATTTTGGTGACTTTGGAAATCACAGCAGCTAAAAACATTAACATGATCATTTATGAGCATTGTACATCACATCAGAAATGTACTTTAAAGTAGGAGTCATTTTTATCTTATTTACATGTACATGTATATACATGTATGTACCTCTGTCATAAAGTTTGTAGCGAACATAACACCTGGCTCCCTTCTCAAGTGTATCATGACCAGTTGTAAGAGCATTGGCCAATGGGAAATTGGCTTGGTCTACACAGATGGTAACACTGTAGAAGCGGTCTGAACTTTCATCTGAAAACATAAGTAAATCACAAAATATCAGTAACTTTTCCAGTTTTTTTCCTTATTAAATTTTTTCATAATATAATGAATTATATGTGAATTAAGACAAGAAAAAAGAAATTGGATCCACCTACCATCACTCATCCATTCTTCCTCATCCTCCACTTGTAGATCCACCGGCGACCACCCCACACTCCTCCCCGCATGTATAACCTTCTCCCTGTCGTTGTGATGGGCGAATTTAACCTCCAACTCCACACCCCCTACAACTCGATGGAGGTAGTTTCCATGGTAACCTGAGGCATCCATGTTTTCTTCGGAAGCATTAGGCGAGAGATTGATGGGAAACCAGCCACTTATCCCTATAAAACAAAATAATATTACATTAGTTGAATTTAATCTTATATTGAATTTATTTTTATATTTCCAAATTATTTATACAGTTATAAGTAAATAGTCATTTTCCTAAATACTTTCCAGATGTGTGCAATATAATTACACATACACACATCAAGTGCAAAAAAATTTTTGTCCATTCAAGGGTGCATTACCTGTTCTGTGAGTTAACAAAGTTGATAGAGGGACTTCACAAGTTCCCAGCAACACGTCACTCAATTTTCTACCACTCCTGTCATCTTCAACCAGCATCTGGCGATCAATATCTGAAAGAAAAAAGAATCTAATCAGCATTCATTTACAGTCACATCAAAAAACAAACATTCATTTTCTTTTCATCATGCATAAAAAATTATTTATGCATGCATATAAAAGTAATTATTGTGGGTTTATGAATTTTTTTAACATCAAATCCTTGACATGGGAAACGATTTCAGATTTCAGAACATAATCTCACCTGATGCAAGGCCTGGGACTTGGTGCCACACCTCTAACTTGAGCTGACCTCTCTCTAGGATTTCTGACAAGGACAGAGCCTCATTATCAGCCTCAGTCCAGATCAGGTTACAGGGGAAATCCATTGTGTGGGAAAACTCAGGAGCAAAAGAACGGGCAACTGTTCTGGTGATTCTTTCCTCCTGTGCAAGAAAAAAGAAAATTAATTCATATATCAGACACCAAAAAACATAAACAACCGTGGAATCATTTAAATTTGTGTGGGTCAATGTTCGTGGGTAAGCAAAATTTTGTAGGTTCATTGGGACTTAATTTCATGGATAAGTCGTTTATTCAGACAATTCAATGAATAAATATATTGACAACATATTTTATGATACCAAAACAGTTATTAAAAAAAAATGAACACTGTACGGACAATGATGATTCCACAGCACATGATAAATTATTCTTAAATCTACAATTTCATGCTGTGTATTCCTTTCAGATTTGCTGAATTAACAGGTTGTCAAACACTTACTGATTTGTCGAGGAATGACAGTTGGACTTTAATGTAGGTGTTGACGCCCACTTCTGCTGGGTATTGCATTCCAGAGTCTATGTAGGCAATAGCCTCCGCTGCAGCCTGCATAACAAAACAACAGCTAAAATATTATTAAAATAAATAGATGTTTATCAAGGTTAGGAAGCAAACTGCTTAAAAGGAATTTTATCCTAAGCATAAAAATAAGAATCCCTACCTTGAGCCCGCAAGCCTTGATGATACCCACAGATAAACAGACTTGTGATTGTCCAATGTTCCTGTGAGCTGCAGTACTAGTGTCATTGTGGACAATGTGTGTCTTATAGTGAATTGTAAGCGTCAATAAACCACAATCTTTCTGCTACAAATACCAAATAAACAAATTTCCAGTGTGTTTTATATTTGAAACTTACAAGATTTTTTTCTTCTAGCATAGACCTGAGGCCTGTTCAACAGACTGAATGTTCACAAGCGCTTGCCAAAATTCCTTATACCTCCAATAGAAATGTTTGCAAGCGCTGGTGCTGCTGAACAGACCTCAGATATAATAGAGATGACAATATTTTGCTACCTTTGCCTTTTGCTCTGGGTCCACTTCCTGTCCGTCACCTGAAACTGAGTTTATGGGCAGGGTGAAAGTCTGGACAGACGGGTCATTTCTCTTCTGCATAGTAACCATAGCACACAGCTTGGCTAGTGGTAGACTAGTCTGAATAAAAAGATTCAAAATTTATGCATGAATTTGGTTCATAATAAATATGTTTTCCTTCTTTCGATATTTGTGACAAAACTAATTCATCAGACTTTAGTTCACTCACCTTGGCAATACATTGGTCCCTTACATTAGGATGGTAATATCTACACCAGACCTCAAATGGAACTCCCCCACTACTGCCAGATCCAGCACAGGCTAAATTCATAAAATTCAAATAAATTCAAAAACTTGTGTCAGAAATTAGAGTTCAATAACAAAATCTTATAATGATTTGAACTGCATTAAAAAGCTGAATTGATAAATTAGTGCATTGTTTGATGACACTAATCATTAAATCTGAAGAATGAAATATACATATGTATATTTCCATAAAAAAGTAGAGTTTTGAAATTTACCTGTAAGTAACTCCCTCTGAACAGGGCTTCCCTGGGGCAGACATAGTCTGTGTCGAGTGATGTCGTTAAAGGTCGGGTCAGGGATACACAGAGTGGTGGCACTGCGGAATGTCTTCATCTTGGGTACACCTGAAATGTTAAAAAAATTTACACTCTGTCTTAAACATGAAGTAATAATCTAATCCATTAAGTTGTTCTAGATGACTTCAAAGAAATTAGAAACTTATCATTTGAATGAGGGATCTATGCATGTACTTTCCATACAGCCTCTGTGGATTACATGATACATACTGTGTCTGACTACCGGTGCCCCTGGTACCTCAGTTTGTGTCTGGGTGGGGAAGTGATACTGTATGAAGCAGTCTGCCTCTCCCCACATCATGTTGTCAAACATAGAAAGGCCTCGGATTCCTTCTATCACAACCTCAAAGATATGCTCCACTGAAAATACAGGTCAAAGCTTTACATTAAAACCTTTATAAGATGAACATGTACACGAATGGAAGTACTGAGTATACATTGTTGATTTATCAATCTCACAAAAAATCACAAAAGTTCAAAGGTTAAGAATGAGAATTCTTGTTAATACCTAGCACAGAGGTTCCAAACTGATTCCTGACTGAGGTTTCTTGACTAGTTTCCACATTTCTACAATGAAAAATACAATATTAAATACATGTAGAAAATTATTCATAAATGTATGTACTACATGTATATACTGATTATCAATTCTACCTGAAAATATTTGTGTTCATTTTCCTTAAATTAATGAATTTTAATCATACCCATCCAGCTGATGAGCTGGCCTTAGGACATGTAGGCCCTCAGCATTCTCCATCTTCATTCGTTGTAATGCCGACACTTGCTCTGCTGAACCCATGGCCAACAAAACTTTGAGCTGTCCAAACTGTGCCCCACTAACTGGGTCAACGATGGGCAAATAATTGTCCACAGCAATAACTGGGTACTGAGAAAATATAATAAAAAAGTTGCAGCATGTACTAAAAGCACCCATTTCAAAATTTTCATAATATACATGTAAATCACTTAAAAAAAGTAAACATTATGAAAAGAAAATTATATGCATTTTTTAATGGGTATTCTTAAAGGGGACACATGATGTGCTTTTACACTTACCTGTGACTTGAGCAATGCAGAAGAAATTTTTCGGTCTCTAAAGGACATGTAGAACTGGTGAAGACTTAGTTTAACTATACCAATCAGCTAAAAAGACAAATCACACTCATTTTAGTATATTGAAGTAAACAACTATTGAATTGCTGACAGAGAGAAGTTGAATGTCATAATACCTTGTCATTCTCAGAATTTGTTTTCTTGTCCCACACTTCCACAATCATAAAGTTGTTTCTCATTCTTTCCAGCAGACTTTGAGAAACAAGCACTGGTGCAATCTGAAATGTGAAACAAATATAGTTAGAACTTAGTAATAACATACAAGTGTATACATACAACCTATCAAATTGGAAATAAGCCATTGGCTTTCATGGGTTATCCTTGGTATACAAATATAATCTTATGTGAATCATATTTATAAATTCATGTCTTTTAAAAATGATTGATTCCGATATTTTATATCAATTATATTGTTTAATGCCATCTTTTATATATATATATCTTAAATTATATTGTGAATATTGCAACGTATGTGTAGTATACCAAATAAATATCTATCTAATCTGACTGTTAGAATGATAGGTCTTGGCATATTGTTATTAACCAAATTTTGCAAACCTTATTTCTACGAAATAAACATAAGCCATTTATATTTTAAAGTATTTGTACAAACCTGGGAGAATTGATACTGAGGTTGGGGATCACTCCAGCTGACATCAGAATGTACAGCGTCATCACACCAGAACATCCTACAGACCAGGTACGTGTTCCGCGAGTTCATACTGCGACTGCTGGGATCTAGAAACATCAAAGTAAAAAAAATCTGTGAATTATCAGTTTAAACTTCATAATACATAAAGGCTCGACTGAAAACTTACAGTACACCATACACATGCAGAAGAAACAATGTATTTACATGTAGATATCAATCTACCGTAAGTGAAGGTACCCAGTATACAATATTAGACATGATACAAACGATTTTTAAATTTTAGAATAACTTATGAATATTTACAATGTCTTCTCTATTCTTGGTTTAACTGGTTAGACATTATTTGATTGTTATCCTACCTGAAGAAAGCACTTGTGGTTTGGGAGGAAAAACTGGGTGCCTCTTCATTGAAGTTAGACAGGGAATGCCATTCAGGGTGATGTTCCGTCCCTCAGGAATCAACAGCAAAGTATGCAATGTTAGCACCTGATGAAAAAAAAAAATTAATAATTTAATTAACAATCTAAGAGCTTACTCAGATGGACATGTACATATATAAATCATTATGACAAAATAAAAATGCTTTATTCAGTTTAAATAAATTTCCTTGTGTCAAATTAATCAAAGCTTTGTAAGTTTATCATTGATGAAAATGAACAAAATATATTTCAATTTTTCCGTCACTAACCTCTGGTAAATCAGACTGGCCATAGTTCACTGGGATCTGAAGAAGACCCTGATTAAAGTTCCTCTGCTGAGAGGAGGACACACTACTGGACTGGGAATTCCTTTGTAAAAAGGCTTCTACCTCCTTCACAATACTTTCTTTCATTTCGGCTTCTGAAAGATTTTTATTTTGGTGAAAATTATGAGAACATTTTCATAAATTTGTTATATTGTGTGCATTTCTTGTTCAGTCACATATCTTCAATGATTTGTAAAACATGTTATCATACCTGTCTGTTTGCGTAATTGGTTGAAATGCAGCACTTGACTTTGAGCATTAACAGCACTTGGTTCCTGAGATATTGGGGGTTTAGGAGGGGGAGGAGGGGGTTTCTGAATTTTGGCTTTTCCAACAATTTAAAGTAAAATATGTATTATGCCACTCCACTGACAACTGTGTAAAATTCAAAATTAATATAGTGAAAAAGTTTAAACATGTATATAACTATAGTGTAAAATTAAACTGATTTTGCTAATAAAGATTTTCATTGAACTGTAAGCTATTATTTCATTTTTTTGTAAGTGTTTAGTATGCAGTCCTAGTGTACTGAGCACTACCTTTAATTTTCCATAGACTCCCTCAACATCACTGGGGGTTTGGGTTGGGGAGTATATCTAGTGAACAGTCCAAGTGAAGGGAGTCAGACTTTAACACCGATTTTAGTGGAATGCCACAACTCCCAACTAGATTTGGCTGAAAAATAAATTTTATATACTACAAAAGTAACTGCAAAACTTACAACTCTACAACATAACAAGGAATTTTTTTTAGGGGGAGGGCAAGTAAAAAGTAAGACAATTTTTTTTTTACAAAGAGAGAGCTAATTTTTGACATCTTTCGAAAGAATTTTAAAGCAATTTTAAGAGGCACTGAAAATTTCCATTTCTGTAGGAGTTTCCCCATATACTGTACATACAAAGTTTCTTACCACTTTTTGACCTGCAGATCTAGCAAACAATTTGAATACCAGGGCAGACTTCCACCAACTGTCCACTGCTGTACCATCAAACATTATTGGGAAGACTGAACGATGATTAAAACTCACAACTGTAAACATAGGTAATCAGAGATTACAGAGCTCACCTCAACGTGTGTTGTCTTTAAGTAAGGCAAATTAAGTCACACAATTAACCAACAAAAAGTGTACATCCAAAAATGCAAAATTTATGCAAATTTGATTTTGAATAGACCTATATAAAAACTAAAAATTTCCCATCATGAAAATGTAATTAAAATCCAGCATCTGAAGCAAGATTTCATCCCTTGATGCATCATTTGTGCAACTGGTTTATATAAGCCATATAGTTTCTTGGTGATAGACTTGCACCCATAACTTTTGATTTTTCTGGAAAATGTATGTCGAACTCAGCATCTGAAGCAAGTCCATTAGTGTATGCTAAGATGTATCATCCATGCAAGTTTAGTCAACATAGGGCTTAAAGTTACTTGCAAATGAAACCTGTATAAAATATTAACCTTTTCACTAATCCAGAAAATGTAGGTCAGATTCAGCATCAGCCACATCACTTAGATGTACCATCCATGCAAGTTTGGTCATTATAGGCAAAGTTACTTGGAAATGAATCCTGCACCATAAACTTTAACCTATTTACTCGTCCAGAAAATGTAGGTATTCAGCATCCGAAGCAAGTCTGGTAGTATGCATCCTAAGATGTACCATCCATGCAATTTAGTCGTTATAGGGTTCATAGTACTGTACCTTGGAAATGAAACCTGCATCCAAAATTTTAACCTGTTTACTCAACCGGAAAATGAAGGTCAGATTCAGCATCCGAAGCAGGTCTTGTAATATGCATCCTAAGATGTACCATCCATGCAAGTTTGGTCATTATATGTCTCATAGTAACTTGGAAATGAAACCTGCACCAAAAACTTTAAATCGGAAAATATATTCAATGAAACTAGTAGATTACATCATAAATTACCACTGTGCAAGTTTGGATAACACAGATATTTTTATAATGAAACCTTCACCAAAACTTTTTTCACTCAACCGGAAAATGTAGGTCAGATTCAGCATCCGAAGCAAGGCTGGGTATCTTTCAAGATGTATCATCCATGTAAAAGCATTTTGCACCAAAAACTTTAACCTGTTCACTCAACGGAAAATTTCCATTAGCATCCGAAGCAAGGAGATTACATCCTAAGATGTACCATCCATGCAAGTTTGGTCATTATAGGGCTCAAAGTATCTTCAAAATGAAACCATCACCAAAAACTTTAACCTGTTCACTCAACCGGAAAATGTAGGTCAGATTCAGCATCCGAAGCAAGGCTGGTTTTAAGATGTATCATCCATGTAAGTTTGGTCAACATAGGGCTTATAGTTACAAATGAGACCTACACCAAAAACTGCACCAAAAATGTTAACCTGCACCAAAAACATTAACCTGGTCATATCTTTGCTGAAATTGCCACTGAAACTTTGACTGTACAATGAAACACACTAGCAACAATGCATGTTAATCAATATAGGACATAGAAGTACTTAAAAAGAAAACTGCTCCAAAAAACTTAACCTTAAAACACCACGACAACTGTAAAAATAAAAGAAAACATGAGAAAAATACAAAATATGAAATTTCAGTATGGAAGAATGCTTATACAGTACATGTATAATGGCAATAGATTTTTATAAAAATCTAAATTACCTCCATCTTTAACATTTTTTGAAGCAACTCTCATAACCTCCGTTGCCATGGCATTGGGTGCATGTTTATCTCTGGATGTGGCCACAACGGGAAACTGGTATTCAATGAAGTAGGTTCTACAAAATACACAGAGATACTTTGTACAGGTACATCCTCCCATTTCCATCTTAAATTTCAACTCTTTCAAGCATGAAAAAAAAGCTAAAGAAAATAACTGATGACTTACACAGCCTTTTTGGCTTTGGGTGAGGGTTTAGGAGGCCTGCCTACAGATTTTCCTGCAGGTCTCTTTTTGGACGGAGTTGTGTTGTGTTCATAGCCCACCAGTTTGAGATGGTCAATGACAACCCTGGCCACATGAACTCTCCCTAGTAAGGTCAATCTCTCAACACTAAGACCATCCACTTTCTTCTTGCCTCGCCTTGGAGCTGCCTCTATAAACAAAGCATACCAGTATTTAAAATAACACTGCTAACCTTACACTAAAATTGCCTTGGGAATACATATCAATCCTGGTTTGGGGAATTTTTTTCTGGATTTACATGTAGTTTCAGAATATCAATCTAAATTTTAATTTTTTTTCTGGCTTAAAATGAGAACACTCCTTCCTGTGAATAGACAGGTTTCTACTTGTAAAAAGTAGAACTTTAGAACACTCTCAATCCTTCGCTGACAAATTAACTAATTTATTATACAATTAATTACCCTTTTTGAGGTCAACATGGTGAAATAAGGACCCGGGACCTGGCCCACGAGGTGACCTGACCTGACCGAGGCCGCGTAGCGGCCGAGGTCAAGGCAGGTCATCGATTGGGCCAGGTCGAGGGTCCTTATTTCACCATGTTTAACTCAAAAGGGGTAATCAATTGTTTTATTATACCGATATATATTGAAAAGTATGAATCTCTAATAACCGTTATCAATTCTTTCTTTGATCAGGATCGGGATTCGCTACACTCTGTATAGCGAAGTTGTTTACATCATAGACATAAATCGACGTCTGCAAGTCGTGTAAGTTTTTGCATCATGATTTACTGATTAAAACAATTATTGGTTGATAGCGACATACATTGTTATAACTAACGATTACTTTTCCTCTACAGTCAAAATCTAACACAGATTCAACACTTTAAGGAGCCGCATCTACATTCCATTGAACTGTAGGCCTATAACGATATATGTATTTTGAAATGAGTAAACCGTTCAAGTTAAGGATAAAATTTTGCCGTATTCTGTACGGTAATGCAAAACAGACCATGCACAATTTTAAAAACATGTTGTTTTTCTCGAATTATTATTATTTTATGCATTAACTTTACACAAAAAGGAATTTTTGATTAAGAGGTCATAATTTAGCGGTCATTAATTATAATGACCGGGTCATTATACCCCACGTGCAATGATTCCTAGGTCATTTTTGTTGTAAACAGTACCATTTGGAGTCATTGTTGTATTTTAAAGTTTTCTTACCAGCCAATCAAATTCGAGTATTATCAATAGAGGTATATAAATATTATTATTTTAAATCTTTTGAAACTACTGGGCACAACCGCACTTCAGAACACAAATAATTATTTTTAAACTTTTTTTTACCTTGCTCAGGTTCATCCAGGTCAGAAGCTGGCATATCAAATGACACCATGGACGTTTCCGACCTAGAGGTATAGATTGAATCATTGTCACTAAATTCACTGGCACTGCTACATGTACGTGATCGAGAGCCTTTTCTTCTTTTCTTGCTGCCTTTCCTTCTGAGCTTAACTCTTCCCTTCCTCTTGGGAGTCCTTGATTTCTCTGTCTTTTTCTTGGTTGCCTTCTCTGGGGTTTCCGTCACTGGTAGAGGGAGGGTGATACTGGAGACAGATGACCGCCTGGAAGGGGGGCGCTGAAATTCAAACAAGTACATACAAATACACTGACATTCAACATATACCTTTCCATCCATTTAGTTTAAACATATATCCATGATGGTAAATTGCAATCATTCACAATACACAAATGCAGTTAATTATAATGTCTTCATTTTAATTACATGATAACAAGTTGGACTTCAAATTATGTAGAAAATCTTACAGCATTGTCAGGGTCCTCCATGGAAGGAGCAGGAGACACAGCCCTCATTTTACTGGCTGAGTTTCTGTGTTTTATTTCTTCATCACTGAGTTCACTCAACTCGCTCACCTCACTGTCCTGAAAACCACAAAATTAAAGGGTCTTAGAAATACATATACCTGTACACACCCTCAAGTAATTCACAAGAGTGACAAGACAATGACTAATGACTATTGCTTCAAAAAGGTAATTTTAAGGTATCACTTTTTTTGAAAATACATAGATAAAGGCAGCGAAAAAGTTTGATAATTTTCACTACAATCATTATAACAGACAAATTTCAGTTCTTACTGGGTTTTTGTAGAACAACTCCTTCAGGAGAGTTTCACTGTGAATGGGATCTCCTGGATCGCTGACCAAATCCATGTCATCTGATATGGAACCCGGACTTCTCCCTCCCATGTTCAACATCTGATAAGTACATATGTTCACATTAAACTAAAACTGGTGGATGTAAATGTATCATAAAACACATGTGCTGGAAATTGCTTATGTGACAAATTTTAGACTATTTTCAAGAAATAATGTCAAGGTTAGTTTACCTGTAAATCATCAAATCCTGTTTCCCCTACAACCAAGTCAATAGCATTCTCTTCAAATGGTAAATCAACATGTCCATTCATGTGAGCCTTCTCGGACTGTAATATTTCCTTCAAAAAACTTCCTGCAGACTGGCGGCTAATAAATATTGAAAAAAAGCTTTTAATTTGAATAATCTGGTCATGGTTTTACTATCAATTTCAGATTTCATTACCCTATAATCTTTACAAGGTTTAAAGAAATACCGGAATAATCCATTTTAAGAACTAACCTTTCAGACATTCTGGAGATATCCATATCTCTGCCTTCCAACACAGTCCTACCATTAGCACTAGGAATTTCTCTAGATTGAGTAACATTGTCTTCAATGGATGAAATGATCATTTCTTTGCGTAATTTATCTCCCCTTTCCAACAGAATTGACAGAACGTCCCCTCCTACTGGGGCTTCACTGCCATTGGCTAAAGTCTGTGAACGAGCTACATGATTGGATGATTTTTTCTTTGGTGATTTGGGTTTATGTGAAGCACTTGTGGAGTGCACCGATATGGCACTGTGGTTAGGAGTGGGATGCGAAATGAAATTAAGGTGGTTCTGGTCCAGATTTGAAGTGACAATGTCGCCATTCGCCGTCACCTCGACGGAACTACCAGACTGAACTGGCTGTGGATGGGAATGCTGCGGGTTGTCATGGAAACTGTAATTGAGCTGCTTCCTTAAATCTGCTGCAGTGCTTGCATAGCCATTTGAAACAGATCCATTCTGAAAGAAATAAACAATCTCAATTATTTCTTGCGTCAAAATTCTTTTTTCTTTGTAAAAATTTAAACCTTAAACTATTCATTAAAAAAATTATATTTTTTCATAAATAAACGCTATTGCAAATAAAGAGTTACAAGAAGAAAATTGCTACAGATTCTTAATATTGAATTTCTACCTGATTAGGAACAGGTGATATGAATGGATCGTCTGTTGGTTTCTTTGGTGGCATGGCATAGGGTTTGTGTTGTATTCGTTGTGGGTACATGGATTCATTGGCACCATTCATCTCCATACTGATGTCTGTTGTTGGGATAGTATCACCAAGGCTGTCATACGAGTCTACAAGATAATATAATACAACATTGAAATGACTACGACCTGAAGTGTCATCAAAAGGCTTCTGTCATATTTTACAATTTCACTACACTGAAAACTGAATCATTTGTTCCAGGTACTGTAAATCACTTTTTATTCGCGAGAACATTATTTTCGCATAATTACATGAGACAATGTGCCCATAAAACCATTTGTTGCCTTAAGATTGTATAGAGCAATCCTATTCTAAAATGTATGAAACCATTATAAGGTGAAGAGAAAATTTACTGATCTACAGTAATCAGTCTAACAACTCATATTTCCTTTAACAGGTAAATACAGCTTTAATATTTTTTTAAAATCTAGAATATTTTCAGACATACCTGACACAGTTTCCAGTTGTAATGAGACCTCAAGATCTGCTAACTTATCTTCATTTGGGGACATAACAGGATACCATCTAAAAAACAATTATTTTGATATACTGACTTACTAGTACTGTTGCAACTATATTTACTACAATTCAAGATGAACCATATACACTTTTGAAAACAATTAAATTAGATAATACGGTAATTAATCATACTAATTATTTTCTTCTCAATCTTTTACCTTCAATTTTTTTTTTAAACTCAAACTACATACTAGATAATTACATACCCTTGAACAGGAGAGCTGGGAGAGATTTTTGCAATGTCTGTAACCTCAGCATACCCGACAGGTACCATCATCCCCCCACTGAGTACCTCTATCAGCAAACTGGACATGTCAGTTAGGTAGGCTGCAAACTGCTTAGGACCAGACTTGATAGGGTACCTGGCCAGGGTCTTAGCCATGGCAAAATTTCCCTTCCTTGCATCATATGGTCTGAAATTTTTTTTTTCAAAAATGTAATCATGAACTTATTTCTTCAGAGAACTCAACACTATTCATCAGTTTTGGATAATTTTATTTCAATGTCTTTGCTGTTAAACCTGTTGTTCAACATTCAAATACATGCATCAGATTTTGAACAGCAAAAAGATACTGGTAAATACTGACCTAAAAACAGCCCCATCTCCCTCTTCTCCCCACCACCTGACCCGTACGTGGGTGACGTCAGGAGGGGAGGGGCAGGACCACTTAATCTGACTGACGGTGAGGCAACAGTAACATCTCAGCTGACCCTCAACCTTTGGTGGCAGTCCAGTATGAATTACTACATCTCCTTTTTTCTTTCCTGCATCTGAAAAATTCATTGGACATTTAAACATGATCACAGCAACTTCACCAAGCTCTATAAGCTTAATATATAAGAAGAGAGAAGATATAAATGAAATCTGCAAAATGGCTAAGCAAATTTTTGTATTTCTGTTTCCAGAATGTCATGTATTGCCAATTACATTTCCTTGCGTAATAATGATAATGGTTGACATCATATGTGGATGACAAAATTTAGCTCTTTCTCATTCTAAAGGGTGTTAAGAAAGTTCGTTCCACATTTTTCTTTTATTTTCAAAAAGAAATACGATGAGAAGATATTTACAATTTGTGATATTTCATGTTTACAGACTCCATTCTTGCTACTGATAAGGTTTTAACCGTCTATTGTTGAATCAATAAGGGGAGGGCAGGTATTGAAACAGATGATTTCTCTTCAGAAAAATTACGGATGATACATATTTGTGACATATGTTAAGCACGCAGGACAAAACATCCTTTCAAATACTATGCGAAAATTATCAAATCTGTGAAATATTTCAAAATGACAAACATATTCTTTTGAAAGGTGATATATCGTTCTTATACCTATCATCATCAGACATCAGCTTGTCTGAAGCAAGATAGGCTATGAAGAAACAAAAGTAAACTATCATTTATTTTCACTCAAAATGACCAGCATTTCTATCATTCGGGTGCTTTAAAGATGTTATATATATTTTTTTCATATGGAAGAAAAATCCTATAATTTCCTGCTAGAAATTATTTGCTATAAATCTAAAGCATACTCTTGTGATTTTGTCAGACTTGAAAATTCATCTCTTTAGTTAAGCACAGCTTCGAAAATATTACATCACGGAACGAACTTTCTTAACACCCCTTACATGCACCAAGTTTCAAATAGACAGAATGCCAGATTGAAAAGTGAAGAGAACATGGATATTAGCATACATGTAAATAAAAACAGATGCTGGAAATCATATTGAGTCAATGAGGGTGGACGCTAAACAAAGAAAAAAAACTTTGAATGGCCAAATTAATCAGGACTCTGCAATGAAATGCATTGCAAGGGGAGATGACGTTTAACAAAGTCATTTATTACTGCTTAATGTTTGTGATATTTGAGCATGTTGAATAAGTTAAAGTAGTCAAAAACAACTATTTTTCCTCCAATTTTCACGAATAGTTGATTATTTATACAACAATAAAAATAAAAAGTGTATTTATTCTAAAATGCCCACACTATTTACACTTCAGGATTTAGACCACGCAAGAAACTGAACCTAGTAATGTAATCCTGTCAATGGCAGAATTGCCATGATGACAGATATTTCATTTTGAAACTGCATTCACTGGTTTCTTTAATAAAAATTACATTGTTGTATAAATTAACCCCTTTTATTAACTTTTCAAAATGCCCTGAGTCTAAGAAATGAGTGTATGCAGATATGTGGATAATTTAAAATTCAAAAACACGAATGTCATTTTTTGCCGCCACAACAGCTGATGGCATGTATGAACACGGTTGGAAGCCTGCATTCATCACTAAAAGTGTTACAATACCTTTTTTAACAGATTGTCTGGACACTTTCTCTTTCTTTTTCACCATAATGAAATATCAACCCGTTTCAAGTAGCTTTACACGATGCATATTCCAATGGTTGTTGCAAAAATCGTGTTATCTGTTACCATCCAAACATTGACGTCCAAACTTGTCCGCCATTTTTAATCTCTAAACAGTTGAAATTGCAATTTGATATTTTATTTTAAAATATTTAATTTAATCATTTTTAAGATCATAAAAACGTTAATTGATACAATTTTAGGCATTAAAAATAAAAATATATCACTATTTTAATTTTCATAAAAGCAAATGTAAAAAAAAGATTCGGATATTTACGGAAAACATTTAAGGCCACTAGTTTGTGCAATAATTATTTTCATTCTTTGGGTTGTTATTTCGCTGTTTCTAGCTAACAGAACGTTGCCATAGTCCATTGCTGTTGCAGAACTAATTTTTTAAAAATATAAATCAAGATAAAATACAAAATAACAAGAGCAAACGAAGAAACATTATAAAATAGTGTTCTGATTGGTAAATAATCTATTTTTATCCGAATAAAATGTCAGCCTTGGAGAGGCAAGCGCTAAAAGCCTCTATAGGTGGTTTACCGCCTATGCCACCCCCAGGACTTGGGTAAGAATATATTTAAAGTTGACAGGAGTTAAATAACTTATTACTGGGAAGTATTATTTGGCTGATACATGAATTGAACAGTACGTACTTTATTTTAGATTTATGTGCGTGTAGTAAAAAATAATGCATAAAGACAATTGTACTGGATATCTTTTTAGATGATAACTGTATGTACAGTTGTCAAACTAAGCAAAATGGTCATTATTCAATGTTTGTACTAGGTAATTTAATTAATAATGTGGTGTTGAGAAGATAAGGCCATTTGTTAAAACTCAGCAGAAAAATATGGTACGCTGTTTTGCTAACACAGAAGACACCTGTAGGCTAATACAGGTTTGCACAACACGCTGTCACACCAATACACAACAGGCTGTCACTCTGACAAGAGTTTGCACAACACGCTGTCACGCTGCATGCTGTCACGCTCACACGAGTTTGCACAACATGCTGTCACACCAATACACAACACGCTGTCGCGCTGACACAAATTTGCACAACACACTGTCGCGCTGATGCACAACATGCTGTCATGCTAACAAGAGTTTGCACAACACTCTGTCGCACTTAGGTGCTTTCCAGCAACATGCTGTCGCACTAGCACACAACACATCATCGCTTGTTGCATGTTAGCGCAATAGCGACTGTTGTGCAAACTCAAGTTAGCATGACAGCATGTTCTGTGTTAGCGTGACGGTGTATTTGACTGAAGATTCAATCAGGGGACCCAGGTTCAAATCCCAGTCTTGACAGTCTTATTTTCCTCCTTTCCCTTCACATTTTGTGCCAAGCCATGCCTTGAATTGACAAGTGGATGAAAGGCCTGCTAGGGAAGAGACTGGGTTGGTATCTTTGGAGTAAAGACCTTTAAGGACGGAGGAATGTGGCAGTCAGTCATGTTCGATCCTCAGTGGCCAGATATTGAGCACCTGACTGAAGTTTTAGGTGGACCCTGTCTGGTTTGAATCCAGGTCTGGTCTGCTGCATTTTGGCTCACCTCAGTGAAGTTGGTTTTTGACTTTTGAGCTTATGTGATAGAATCAGCATCCCAAGTTAAAGTTTCTGAAGCAGATTCTTGTGAAGAATTCTTGTGTAATGTCCCACATTAATCAGAGATGCATTGTAGATGTTTGTAGTGTGTTTCATTGAACCAGTCAAGGTTTCAGATGCTGAAATTTCAGCTAATTAAGGAATGGCCAGCATTTTTTTCCTCTCCCAATACAATACAATGGCTTGAATTTTATATCAGTTTTACATCAATGGCTCTGTATATATACAATTTGCCATCAAACCAAGAAGTCATGCAAGCTTTTATCTATTTATTTTTTGTAGTGGACCAAAGAAAAGAGCTCTGATAAGAAAGAGAGATTACACTCCAATTCACTGGGACAAATACTTTGAGCGGATGCACGATGTCAAGTGTGGAGATAGTGACGTATCCTTCAGGCTTTGATTCTAAGTATTACATGTAGTGACACAGTCTCTCTATGTTTGAAATTTTAAATGATGGAATTTTTTAATGCTGGAATAGTTGAAATGAAAATTAAATCATGCACAAGTAACTAATTTTTTATACAGAAATGTAAGCCATTGATTTGATAGGAAGAATTGAGATTTTTTTTCTGTGAATTGATCATGATCGAGCAATTTTCTTCTTCGTGATATCATTATGACAGATTTATATGCACATGTATACAGATCACTGCATATTTCACTCTTGTAATGACCTTGACCTGTTGTTCAGACCTTCAGGGTCTATGAGTGTGGGAGCTCCGGCCCTGTCCTATTCTTTCTACATGGAGGAGGTTTCTCAGCCCTGAGTTGGTCTCTTCTTTGTGTGAGTCAGTCTTAGCAAAAACTCCATAACCTGCTTTACTGCTGAACAGTAAATCTGCAATATATGCACATATGAAATGTATAAAAATTCAAATGTTTTTATGATATACATGTAAATGTAAATTTCACCATGTTCACAAATAAAAATTTCTGTAAACTTTTATAAGACAGAAGAACACTAGTGGCAGATGTTGTCAGCAAAAGATTTTTGATAAAGCAAAGAAACTTATTGAAAGATGATGAAGTGAAGTAACCTTGTGAAATTTCTTTTTTATATTTTAGTCATCTCTGTCTGGTATGGTTACTTGTCGATGTGCAGCTGTGGACTTAAGAGGACATGGTACAATTGATTTTTATTTAAATACATCAATGATTCTTGTGCTTTTAATTTATAAATGATGCAATTTTTAATGTGGTTTGCTTTTTTAGGGCAAAGTTGGAATGAATTGTACTACTATACTAAGTAAAGGAAATTTAATTTTGAAATGATTATCCATTAAAATTTTGCTAAATGACACAAATGCAAAAGTCAACATTAGTACATGTGCATATTGGGATTGTTTAAAAGCATTGGAAAAATTATGTTAAATAAACAGGGTGTTTGAGTTCTTTAGAATTCCCTGGTAGTATATTAAAATGTTTTCTGATACCCAATTTGTTTCTGTTGATCAATGTCTTATCTTTGAATTATTTATTAAATAGGTGACTCTAAAACCTCAGATGACCAGAATTTATCAGCAGAGAGGTTGTCAAGGTAATATTTTTTTCAAACTTTCTTCATCCTGATTATATGTAGAACATACTTGAATGAAAGTCCCAGAAAGCTTACTTCTTTAGTAGGTACCATTGAATGATTTTTCCCAGTAAATTGGAAGAAAATTGTTGAAAGCCTCCATTTTTCACATTCCACAATTGATTTCCTTAATTAACTCTTTATAAAAAAAAAAATCAGCTTAATAAAATGTGAAATAGTGAACAAATGAAATAGGCATTTAATGATATTATTTTTACATAATTGCATTATGAAAAAGGTATGCATACAAGTAAATATGTTGCATAAAGGTATTGAGAATGCACTTGCTTTGGAATTCATGGATTTTTTCCTTCATAAAGATGCTGGAACATTATAAATTTCTAGAAATTTTTTTCCTCTATTATGATTTGGGAACATTATTAAATCATGACTCTCTTTCTTCACAGCGATGTTGGGAACATTTTTAAAGAAATGTATAGAGATGACCCTCCTCCTGTTCTCCTTGTGGGTCACAGGTTAGTTCAAAGTTCAATGCTCTCTTAACCTTGTTTTGATGTAGTGAAAATGTTCGTTTCATAAACTGTGATTATGGGGCTGCAAATTTTCTGTTGACCCTGTAAGTTCTGTTATGGTTTTTAAAGCTAATACTAAAAATAGAACCAAGATACGGGCATATTAATACAGATTTTGGAAATTTGGAATAAAAAATGCAAAAGCAGAAAGTCTTTTTTGATCATACTGGTCTATAAGATTAAAAGAGCAAATAGGTGTTTGAATTAGTCACCTTTTGATGGTCACCTTTTCATAGAGACAAAGCGAGAAAAATATGGAGGGAATCAAAGGAACAATTTTCATTAAGTATTAAGAAGTATTTTTTGTAGCCTATACATACTGTATTTGTGTGTATATTTCCAGTATGGGAGGTGCTATTGCTATACACACAGCCTTTAGAAAACTAATCCCCTCACTCATTGGACTGGTCGTCATTGATGTGGTAGAAGGTAAATATAAGTTTTTAATTATAAATACAGTCGATATGTGCTTAAAATGATTTCATGCTTATACTAATTTAATTTATTTCACAGAAGCTTTGACAAATATTTTGAAGTTAACCAATAAATTACATAATTGTTATAATTTATAATGAATTTAAACAAATCAAAATTGTTGACTTGATCCCTGGCACTTCAAAATGAGCCTGTTTCACTCTTTTTTTTGAACCAGTACATTAGAAGACATACACAATATGTAAATAAAAATAACCACAAGTTTAACAATTCTGAATGGTAATATCTGTCTTGTCTTTTAATTTAGGAACAGCCATGGATGCCCTAAGTAGTATGCATAATTTCTTGAAAGGAAGGCCCAGTGTATTTAAATCCCTAGAACAAGGAATTGAGTGGTGGTACGATATTACAAGTATGATTAAAAGCAAATATATGTAAAAATCAAATTCCATATATATTTTGATTATGAGAAGTGTGCATCTAGCCTAAAATCTTCACTTTTGATTTAAGAGGTATCTTTCATACAGTGGACCTTCAGGTATCCGGATGCCAGATATCCAGATGCTTTAGTATTCGGACGACTTTTTATCGGAAAAGAATTTTTTAACGTTATTTTGTCTTGTTTAACTGGTAAATCAGATATCTGGACGCTTCACATATCCGGACAAATTGACTAGGAACCAAAGCGTCCGGATAAATGAGGCTCCACTGTATATGAATTACCAAATATTTAATTTTCTACCAGAGTGTCTTTCAGATACTTATAGTTTCTGTATATTTTTTTTTTAATTTCTGCAGTGTAAGAAGTGGACAAGTAAGGAATATAGAATCTGCTAGAGTCTCCATGGTGGGGCAGCTGAAAAGGTAACAAATCAAAAAGGCAAAGTAAATTCTTTGTTTACACACTGTAAATGTGTCATGATTCTTGTTATAATAATTCCTCAAATACTAAGAAAGAGTAAAAATTGAATAAGCACGATAGTTCTGTGTTGAAGTAATATTTTCTTAATTGAGGAAAAACCAAATGGATGATATTACGCAATTTTCATTTTAAAAATGTTATGTATTTCAAGAGTGGAGACAGAGGAAACTGCCACAGCTGAATTAGAACATGAATTTGAAGCTAGTTCTCACCCACAGGGAACCAGCACCATTATTGAGGAGGAAGAAGACGAGAGTAATGCCAATAAATCAACAAGTGAACCCCAGACTGCGGAGGAAAATGCCAACAGTACACCAACAACAGAAACCAAACCAGAATTCAAGAAACCTGAATCAAAAGACCAGGTGGTTATAAACTCCAGCTCATACTGATCAAAGGTGAAGAAAAAAAAATTACTTGTAACTATCTGATTGAAATTTTTATTGTAGAAAGAAGATGACCACCACTATACATGGAGGATAGATTTAGGCAAAACATCACCTTTCTGGAAAGGTAAGCAGAATTATATCTGTTGTTACAGCCTTCTTGAAAATGAAGAGCTTTGGGATTGAATTGAGCCTACTAGAGATTCCTTATTTTTCGCAAGTACTTTTTATCGCGAACTGGTTTTTTAACCTCAAATCGCGAGAATAATATTTCGCAAATGGACGGCTGATCGACCGAATTTACATGGATTTCAACGCCATAAAAATAAAAGCGAGTAATATTAATTCGCGAGTGATGCTTCTCGCGAAATTACGCGGAAATTAATTCCTCGCATATAATTAGGAATCTACAGTATTACCTAAAGCACAAAGTGTTAGCTCCTTGTAAAATTCGTCTGGTTTTAGTATCTTTGTTACCAATATATGACTTTTCTTCTTTTTTATAATTCAGGCTGGTTTGAAGGGTTGTCAAATAAATTCTTATCTTGTGATGTCCCGAAGATGTTATTACTTGCAGGTAATAGATTGATTGCCAACAAAGATGTAATCATATAGAAAAATGAAAGTGATAGTAAAGATTTTGTTAAGAGTTTGGATTTGTATTTTTAGAACATTAGCATACCACTAACTATAGTTAACATTTTCACTTTTTTTCAGGAGTGGATAGACTAGACAAAGACTTGACTATTGGCCAAATGCAAGGTAATGGTACTGGGATATTTATTTGAATAAAGTGTCAGGAATAGCTTCTTAATTTTCCCTACTTCATTTTGAATGTCTCCACTATTTACAGGTAAATTCCAGATGCAGGTGCTTCCTCAGTGTGGTCATGCTGTACATGAGGATTCTCCAGAGAAGGTTAGATAGCATAATAGTACATTGTTGTATAATTGATTTTCAGAATGAATCTTTGAAGATTCACAATTTTAAATATAAACAAGTTTTTTTTTTAAAGAAAAATGAATACAATTATAAAATTTAAGTTAATTTTTGTAGAATTTTTTTTTCATTATTATTTTTACAGGTGGCAGAGGCCCTTGCTACATTTTTGGTCAGATACAAAGTTGCCCAGCCCACTGCTGATTTTCACAGGTAAACAATATACTGAATTTTACAGTTCAAGGTTTATTAAGGACCCCCCATACACTGATAAAAATACTTTGAGATTTTGGAGAAAATTAAATACAATAAATCACAAAATTTTGGCGACACCTTATCTTTCGTGAATGAAACATTAACTCTTTATTAGCAAGTCAAAATTTTCACGAATTGTGGTTACTCTCCTACAACTGCAAATGGCCCAAAGAAGATCCCTATTGATTTTGAGGATAAAAGATCAAAGTTCAAGGTCATAAATTCTTTCTGCTTTAATACTTTTGCTTCTACACAATATCTCAACTTTTGCAGTGAAATTTTATACCACATGTCCCTAATATTCTATTGATTTTTCAAAGAACTTTTGCAGTTTGAAATTTTATACCACATGTCCCAATTTTATGACGTATTGATCAAAAAAGTCAACATTAAAAAAACTATTGATTTTTGAGTGCTACCGAGAGTTTGTGTCCTTTGAAAACGAGGTCAAAAATTCATGTGTGCCTTGTAAACTTTCGGTAAAATTTTATTTTAAAAACTAGATAATTAAAGCACGACTTCATAAAATATATCTCAACAGCTATAGATTTTGCAATGAAATTTCATATCATAACTCCTTATGCCCCTACCATGTTTTATCTACGTATATATGAATACAATCTATACCTTGTTCTATTGTAAAGTTCTGAGGAGTTTCGAGATTGTAACTTTTAGTTTGAATTTCCTAACATTTGTCAATACCCAATATTCGAAATTAAAAAGTGAATAAATACAGCCAAAGATCAATGTATGAAATGTTCCTTTTTCCTTATGGGGTGGGGTACATTTTATATGTTCACATGACGGATAGGCCTACCTATGAATGGAATTTTTTTTTTTAATTTTGATATTTACACAAGTATAGTTAAAAAAAAAAAAGTTTACTTTATAGTTTTACTCTGTGTTCATTTCTTTAATTTGTCATTTTTTTAAAATATGATATTATCTTGTATTTATAAATAAATTACTATTAAAATATTTCAATTATTTTAATATTGGGAAAATCACCAGACACAGACCTTTTTATATATAGGAAAAAATTGACTCCCCCTCCTCAGGTAACCGTACGGTAAAAAAATTGGGTCTTTAAGGGGTGGGGTGGAGGGCAGATTCTCTGAATTCTGAATTATCTTGTTAATATTGGGAGAATGCCTTTTTTATATACTTAGGAAAAAATTGAAGAGATTGAAGTAATGATCATGATGATAAAAAAGTCTTTTGTTTACTCAAACAAAGAAAATAATGTAAAGGGGGTATTTTTTATTGAGGTGCTAACTTTGGCTGATTTTAGCAGTTTTCTAGTTTGTGTCAAATGGGGGATAAGTCTAAATACACAAAAGCCCTAAAATTATGGTGCAGGGAAAAGGTGGTCCTTAAGCAAAACATTTCGTATTATATCCTTTGCAATGAAGTTGTAGAAGGATATACTGGAAATACCATGTGACACTGTCTGCAGCTGATCTTAGTGCATGATATAGTTCAGCTTTACTCAGTCTCACTGAAGAATCACATAAAGATTACACTCCTTAAAGTGTGGTATCATTAACAAACTTCTCTTTTAATATTGCAGGGTTTTTCCTGCATGCTGATGCTGAATCTGTAACAGTGGCTCAAGGATGAAATATTCAAAGACTTCTGAAAGCCATATGACAACTATGAGAAATGACAGAGGGACTTATAACAGCTCAGGTGGCCAATGTGCTCCGTCCTTTGTGTGCTTACTCCAGGAGATTTCTATCATTTACATAAGTTTTAGATAGAGATGTCTTCATGAAATGACTACATTACTTTTTTAAGATCACAATTAGATATTAGTGCCATTTCTTGTTTCAAGTATTACATCTAGTATGTATTCGGTTGTTTGAAATAACTTGTTTTTATGAATTTCAACTTAGAATGCCTAAAGAAGGTTTCTGTTGGCTTGCCATTTGGAATTTTGTAGCTTTGTGCTTAAATTTTGTCTGGATGATATGGTGACTGACTGCAAGTCCTTAAGTTATCAAATTTACATAAAATTAATGTATCTTGTTATGCATTAAAGAGTGATGCAGCACTTGAAGTAATTGAATAAATAATCTAATAAAAAGACATTTTCAGTTCCATCTTCAAATTTTTAGTTTTTTTCCCCCAACCAATCAATAGCTTTCATATAAATTACGGTATGAAAAAACTTAATTGTTTTACTGTAAATACATTGTATGCCCAATTGCAATATTGAAGCAAACATCAGAACTGTGAAATCTAGGAAACACATGCATGTAGCTACATACATTGCATAGTTCTTTATAACTTAGTCTGGTGTACTTTTTAATTTCAGTAGGAATTGTGTCCAAGTCAACCATTTTGTCAAGTAAACTCATACCATATTATGAACTGGATTAAATTGGATGGAATGAAATGTCCGTTTTTCAAGCTATCTGAGGCATTAAGTAATCTTTTATTTAGTTCGTACATTGTACCTTGTAATACAGTGTAGTATAATGAACTTTTATATCAGATTGAAGAGTTGCCATTTTAATTATATTTTTGTTATTTACAACATTTTCACACTCTTGTTTAAATTAGTTTTTTACATTAAAATATTATTACATGTATACACAAAATTTTTGTTAAAAAGTGACCAGAAAAAATCAGGTACATACATGTATACATCTGAATAAAATTGAATAAAGTGACAAAATTGTGTTTTTTGATTTAAAATTTTTTCTACATATAGAACTTAGATTTCATGGTCATCCTTACCAAAAGATTAACATCCCCATGAATGTTTATGTTGTAAACATTGATTTGTTGAATCTACTGTAAACTAAACCCACAATATTACATCCCAAGGAACAAGTATAAAACTTTGCTTGTCCATGAACATTGACTCCTACAAACTAAATTATTCCACAGAATGCTTTTTTACAAACCCTGTTCAGTTTAAATATTATTAAATTTTGCCTACAGACAAATACACGTCTTTATAGAATTAAGATGCTCATTTGAACAGAAGACCACACTGAGCAAACCTAAAACTACCAAGAATCTGTGATTTACTATAGTGAGGATAAACAAAACACTAAAACAGTTGATTGTTACTCTCTGAGTGGCTCTTTGTAAAACATTTTTTAAAACATACATTGAACGTCAACAAGACACCTAAAGTAGCAAAAATATGATTTATTGTATTATTGAATAAATTAACATTATTATAATAGCAGTCATTTGTTATTTCTTCTGTCTAATATGAATAATAAATCCATGGTCTTGTTTGGCTGCATATCCCTTGCTCTCAAAGTAGTTGATCAGTTTCTCTGTTTTCTTTTTACATGCATTGAGTGCCTGTGAAAAAAATGTACATAAATATTTAGAAAAAAAATAACTTCACTAAACATGCTAAATGTTATTAATATTATCAATTTGCCAGTAGCACCACAGTTTATATAATGCAAGAGCTAATTCACTTCACTGTGGCATTCACAATCAAAAGTGATCAATATACAGAACAAGAGATGTTTGTGAATCACTATGCCCCCCTCCCCCAAATAATTGGAATTTTTCCAAGTCTAAGGGGCATAACTCGACTGTACTCAAAACAGAACTTGACCTAGTTATTCATGTACCAAATTTCATTTCAGTATGTGCAACCTCTGCAGAGAAAATAAAAGGAAACTGCAAGTAATTGGAATTTTTTTAAGTCCAAGAGGCATGACTCTGTCCAAAATGGCTTCATTGTAACCTAAATAGAACATGACCTATAAATCTGTATACCAAATATACAGACTTGTGCATCAACAGACAGACCAACAGCAGCAAAGCAATATGCTCTTCCTTCTTCAAAGGAGGGCATAATTACATGTGCAATGGTTGTGAAGGAAATGAACAGAAACTTGCTGTGGCTGTCCGTCTGTCTGACAGACAGATCAACAGCAGCAAATCAAACTTTGTCATCTCCCTTCTTCAAAGGTGTGTCGGGGGGGACCATAATTAGAAGTTATAGCCAAATAGGGTATTTCTGTTTAACTGGTCTTTAAAATTTTTATACCGTATAAGTAGAAATTTTAGCGAGGATTTAATTTTGGCATTATTAGTGAACTTTAAAAAAAAATGTGTCTTTTACTATTCATTTTTAAAAAAATTTAATATCGACCCATTCATCTCTAAAAATTAATAATGCATTTTACTTGTTATAACTTCTGATTAACGTGCACTTTAAAATCGCAGTTTAAAATAACATCAGCCTTTTCTTTTCAAAATTAATTTGGTATAGATTTTGTTAAGACATTTGATGATGGGCATTTGAAAGGTCTAACACAACGAGCACAAAATTTCCACTTATACGGTATATAAGGGACATTGCCCTCTCAAACTTTATGTCCAGAAAATTTAATTTTTTACATACATGTATACTGGCACTTTATTAAAATTTTGATATATATACATTGCCCTCTCTGATTTAATATATGCATTAATTAATTTATATACACCACTGCAGTAAAAAAATGGCCATACCTCATTTTTGTCTGCATAAGATGCTGACTTGCTTGTGACTGTCAATATGACCGGGTGACCTTTCGTCAACACATTTTCAATTTTCCTTAACGTTATACCACTGTCATAATCAGAAGCCGTGGTTGTTATTTTAAAGTTTTTGGAACTTTTGACCTTTAACCTGCCCTGCTGAGCAAGTTTATAGTCTTTATATTCTTCCACTGTCATTAATTTGAAGGCCATCATATCACTAGTCTTTGGATCTTTTAAGATTGTCATCTTCAAGTCCCTTTCTTTGGCCTCTTTGTGTGCTTCTTCGTGAGTTACTTCATCTTTGATGACTTCATCTTTTTCATCTAATAATTTCAGTTTTTTGCCTTTATCAATTTCAGAAATCACATTTGAGAATATTCTTGATGAAGTTGCAAACATTGCTTTAGTAATGTCATTCACATTGGAATATTGAAGTAATCCAGTGCTATGTCCAATTTGTCTGGGTTTCTGCATAAATAGTCTGAGAACATTTTGGTATTGGAATGTCCAAAGCATCTTTCTCCTGATAAGATGTGCCATTTTTCTGAAAAGAATCAATCCAAAAGTTAAATGTACACGTTACTGAAAACCATAAACTTTGGAACTGTGTAGCTTTCTGGAACTTAGTCTAGTACATGTATAAAGAGACTTGGTTTGAATGATGCTAACCTTCCCTCTCATTTGCATGATGTTTTCTCAAACTTTAGAATAGATGGATATGCAGAACATGTATTACATGATTGTATCTACTTTTAGGATTGAAAACGTAATGGCTAGCAATATTAGAGTAATTTTTTTGTTGTGTACTTTAAACAAATTGTGACATGCTGCTGTTTTTTTCAATATGCTAAAGTACATCATAACTAAATGTCCACTCAGGTTGTAATTAGAGGATTTCGGTTTAATTACCGGGGTTGGGTAACTATATTTTCTGTCCAAATGTGAATTTTAAACTGGAATTTATAACATATAGGACAACATAGTTCATTACCGCACCATAAAGCATAATTTAAAGCATTGATAATGCAATGGCAAAGTGACAATAATCACAATGATGGGAAAGGGAAAAGATAATGGACAATGTGATGACAATGGTGCAATAATAGCACAATGAAGGGATAGTGAACATTGCTTGTCATTATACAATTGCATCTTTGGCATTGCACCATCATGTCATCTTTATCGAATTATCACTTCCTCATACCATCACATTATTATCACATCACATTATTGTGCCATATATGCACATCGCACAATGGCTTGATCATCATTGCATTTTGACATCATCATATTATATAGATCTATGTAAAGTTTGATTACGCAGCTGATAGCCTATCCACTATATATATGCAACTGTGAACAACATGGCACTATCCATATTCCATACACCTGTGAATGTCTGATGGACGTTCCACCAGAGACATACAAAAATGTTATAACATTTATTACTCCGGTTTCATAAGGTTTGATTTATCTGACATTTTGGTCAGGAAACTTAGATAAGAAATATATTGAATAATAATTAAAAATCAGTTAATGTGGAATTATTGTGTGTACACTGGTCTATATAAATATGCATATCCTGATGCCCATGGCAGGCATACTAACCAAAAATAAAAACTGTCCTTTTTATCGCTTTTCATTCAGCAGCAGTGAAAGTGAAAGTAGATGAAAACTTTCGTATATCTGTTCTTATATTTTTCCCACGCTCAAATAAATTAGATAAAGTTGAGAACTGTATATCATTAAATATTGTTTTATTTTATGTATTTATTTTTTAAAAAACCATAAAAAGAAGCAAAAATGAATATTTTCTAATGTTTTACGAAAATAACATCAAACAATCATGGCGACTGAGGTGCAAGCGGCTGCTGCCCCAGCGCCTTCTTCAGCCCCGACTGAGGACGACGAGACATGGTTATATGGTGGTAAGGCTTATTGAAAGATTGAAAAAATATGATTTTAATGTGTTGAATGCTAAACGTATTTTAAATAAGGTATGAAAATGCCGGAACCCTTTCTGTTAAAATTCGAATTTCCTCAGCTTTTCTCATTACCTCACTATATTGATGCGTGTTTTTAAAGGAATGTAGTATAAATTTATTTAAATTTTGGAAAAACCTGGTTTTGTTTTTCAGTTTGATTAATCTTTAATTATGTAACAAAGAAATTTTAGACATTGGGGAAAAAATCTCATCTCTTAGACTCTTATTCTTCAATAATCAATATATCTGAACAAATTACACCCAAAAGTCATCATCATGTGATTCAGATCCAGTGTATTCACTACATTTAGCTACGTAGCTTGATTAACTACTAAGTTTTATTACGGTGTGACCGTTGAGGCGAGCGCAGTTGTACCATTAAAACACTTAAACTTCAAACATCAAGTCGCATATTAGCTGTGACGTCACACGACGTCACGGAGCTCGTTAATTAGGAAACGGCCATCTGGTTTAAACTATAGACCTAGCACAATTTTGGTGGAAAAACATTGCAGAGTTATTTTTTGTTTCTTTGAAAGATTTCTACAAACTGAAAGCTTTTTATGCTTTAAGTTATTGTTTATTTATTTATCTATTTCACGGAAGCAACCGACATGACTTAATTAGCATATCGTCAAAATTCGTAAGTTTCCGGTGACATCATATGTATCATTTCTGAAGGGCAAGGTGAAGGCCAGTGTTGTGGCATGGGGGTATTTTTTTGAATAAGGCAAGGCAAAATCAGAAATGTTCCTTTATTTTTTTAACTATTTTTGATTTATTCGCCCAAAGGACATTGGGTAGTGCAGGAATTCTGGGAATGTTTCACAGAGAAATTTGCCTGACGTATGTACAGATTTCATTCCGAATTTTTCTCTGTTCTTACATGTTAGTCTATTGAGCTTGCTGCGCTTGCTATAAGCTATCGAAAAAAGTTAATTGTGAGCTACAAAATCAAATATTTTGTAAATTGTAAAAGATGTTGATGGTATGACCGTTTGGGCGAGCACATTTGTGAATGAATTAACTGGATATTACTGGATATTCACTTTTAACTACTTCTTCAAACTGCACATGATATTTTGAACATCTTTAATTAGGACCCATCACAACAAGTAGATTTTCTCAAAACTGTGGTATCGTTCTCTTGCTTGAACTCTATAAAACCAAACAGAAATGTATAAATGAAAAGACACACTCCTTGCTTTAATGGAAATTACAGACAGGTAGTAGATATTCAATACACTTTGTTAAACAAGTTTACCTTCCAAATGTTTCATGCGGTTTGAAGAGGTGGATCTAAGTTTTTAAAAGTGAGTAGTGTCCATAAATAAATCAAACACAACTATGCTTGCACCAATGTTTGGTCTATCAACACATTAAAGTCTCCAAGAAGATACAATGAATCCAGCACATAAGATATTGTTGGAATACATGCTTACATCAAAAATGCGAGTCTTAAGTCATAATTATTTGGTTTGTATTTAGAAGAGAACAAGGAAAAAGAGAAAGCACAAGAATCATCAAGGTAAAGGCAGTTTTTGTTTTCTGCATTGAAAGTGATTTTAATAAATTATGATTAAATTAAAAGTAAAACTTCTTTTCTAAACACTATCAGCAAAATTCATGTTATTTGTTGGTGTGAAAAAAATTGTATTTGTTTATTTGCAGTATGTTTCTTTAATTTACAATAATCAATTTATGGCTATATTATGGTACCAAAAAAATCCAGAAGTTGGTAGACAGTAATTTAGATAATCTTTTATAAAATGACTGTTTTGAATTTAAAAAAAAAAAAATCAATTTTAATTAACATGTACTTGCTAACATTTTAATCTTACCTAGTTGATTTTTGTTTTCATGCTAGTGAGGCTGTTGGAAATGGTGCTGGTAAGGAGAATAAAAAAGATGACCGGGAAGCAGGGGAATTGGTAAGGGCAGTTACAGTGAACATTGTATACCAAATACATGTATATACATGTAAATTGAATTCTATGTATGCGAGAAGCACAAATTTAAAATCCACATTTTGAACTGTGTTATTTTGACATAGGTAATTATATGATGGTACATGTACTTGAAATCAGTTGTTTTGCTCTCAGGTTATAAATAAAGATTCATTGTGAACAATTGCCAAATCAGTTTGTCGTAAAGCTTAACAAAATTCTATAAGATTAAGACTATTCTCGGTATGAAGCCAGCATAGAAATTTTGTATGAACATTTTCAAAGTTGGAAAATGGAGAAATTCTCCCAAACAGTGCACTTAAAATCTTGTGCAGTAAATAAAATTGCACATTTTTGGCGTTACAGGATCTGTAGCTTTATGGTCAAAGACTAATATATAAAACCAGAATGCTACAGATATGCAGCTATCAAATATCTTGATATTTAATCTGGGTCCAGTTGAGTTCAAGATATTGAGGTTTGACTGTTTTTTGAAAGTGAAGATTTTTGCTATTGCTACTACATTGTACAGTAAAACTCGTTTAGTATGAACACGGATATTTTGAATTCAAAGATATAACAGTATAATATCTTGGAAACAAAAATATTTAGATTTAACAAATTTAAAATGGGATATAACAAATTGCGGATATAGGGCAAAGTAATAACATAGGGCGAAAATAACCCTATATACGGTATTGCTACAATAAAACCTTTTTGGAAAACTTTATACTTGCAGCAAACAATTTCTTTGTGCTTGAAATTACATTCAATTTGTTATATCCCTGATTGATTTGTAGAGTGGTGAAGAAGAATCACAGGACAAAGGAAATGATGATGACGATGATTCTGACGACGACGTGCAGGTTACCATTGGTGACATTCAGGCCTTCCCAATTGGAGAGTAAGTTTTCAATACATAATAAACAATACTGAAAGGAAGGGTTAAAGGTGACTGGAGAAAAGTCTGCTGATGTTAAAGTTGTAATAATGAAAGAGATAGTATTTTTCATGAACTTTTGGTTTTCACAGCATTGATTGCAAGGAATATTTTTTGGAATCATTTAAATTTTTTGATCTAACAGACAATGGCTAAGTCATCTTTTATTGTGTGTTTTGTTGCATCATTCATAGAAGTGGCTATGTGTCACTTGCTTCAGTTGCTAAAAAAGACAGTATATGTACTATAGTATTCTCAATTTGTATATCCTCTTTTCAGTGGTGCGAGAAGTCTTTTCAAAGCCCCAGGATACCAGAAAACAGGAGCTGGTGGGTATTGTAACAAAATTGCCAAAAACCTTATATATTTACCAAAATTTGGCTTTGCTTTACTCATAAATTGAAACTTGTAAATTCAGGTGCCACAGGTAAAGGCACAACAGGTGCTGGAGCCCAGAAGGGTGTGGATCTAGAGGCAGTGGGGACCATTAATGGGATCCCAGCCTACGATTTTGACTTGGAAACCCTGCAGGCAGATGAAAAACCATGGAGAAAGCCTGGTAAGTACATTGTATCAGTCTGGTTGGAAACATAATAAACAGTTTATCATTAAGGTAAAACTTTTGTTATGGGGAAGTTGCAGGGAGTTTGGATTTCCTCCCTTATAACTGGGATTCTTTGT